GATTTTTAGTAGTACCTCCTTAAGAAGTCACATCCTAAATAAATGCTATTATTTTTCAAACATGCAACACTACTGGGTTCTTTTCAATCTTGAAATCAAGGCAAATATTTATGTATGTAATAAGGTTTTATCACAGCTATTCTAAATCTCAAATTCTTCACATTTGGCCTTTCTCAATGAAATGCTGCTCTGATTGTCAGCTTAACCTTCTGTTTATGAGCAGAATCCATTGTGGTTTTGAAGATCAATGTTATTTTAAAACTAAGTCAGATTTCTCAGGATAATCCTCAATTGCCGAATGAAAAAAAAGAAAATAAGGTTGAAGAGGACTGTTCTAAGGGGCTAATATTTTGTCATACACTTTTTGATGATTGTTTCAACTCTTTTGCATCTACAGTGTAACAGACTTTGGTAACCCCATGCTAAGAAATCATTTGAGGACTCATGGCTGTGTTTCTGCATAATATCAAGCAAGGTTTGCAAAGACTTTATTCCTCACTCCTCCCTTCTCAGTTTAGGCATCTACAGTGAAGACAAGTCACTCCAAGCACCTTCTTATGGTGATTCAAGCAACTTGTATTTCAAGGCCTTTTAGAGACTCCTGAAACTTTCCATTTCATAGAAAGTGGAAAGCTAGTACATCCCAGGTGAATCTTCTGGCTAAAGCCAGGTGGAATGAAACAGCCTAGAGGGCAGAATTTGGATTGGATTTCAAAAGTCAAAAAAAGCACTTATTCAAAAGTAGCTTAATATTAAGATTCTATCTCTTTCTCATTTCTTCCTCTTTAATTTAGAAGTTGATAATTCTTGTCTAGCTAGCAGAACTAATTCTTGGGATAACTTCTTTAGCAATTTAAAAACACTGCTGAAGTGACTCTAACTGTCCTTTATCAGCTACTACAGATGACATCTTCCCCTCACATTTGCCTTTGGTGTTTCTGTGGCAGACGTAAATAATCATCTGCCTGGAAAATTAGCATTATTTAATGTTATTTCTTTAATATGTTCTTTATATGACTTAGCAACTGGTAATAAGAAGGAAAAATAGCACTATAGACAACCAGCTGGCTTCCCATGAACAGATCACTTCCACTAACAGATCACCAGCAAGGGTGACCAGAGTATTTTGATGCTTTTACCCACTGGCACACCAACCTGTCAGAAGCCCTGGGAAGCCTGGCTTCCATACTGAGAATATGTTATCTGTTAGCAGACATATCACAAAAGCTTTCAAGAGGGAGCTACGTTTGTAAGTCTGAAGACATAATAACTTCTTAAACCTCTGTATTCTGTTGCTCTGGACAATTTGTCCATAGATTAGCTGGCCAAGTCCCCGGCAAGCACCTATCTCAACACAATGTGGGAATCTGAATTGAATCGTGTCTCTGGCACTCGTTCCTTAGGAAGAATATAACTACTTTGGAAAGTATTGCACTGAACCTTGCTGAAGGGCTGCATCAAATACAAGCAATTTCTGACACATTAAATAGTGCGGCAGACATTTCAAAGCATCATAAGGACCCCACAGATGACCCCTTCCTATTACCTATTAACTGGCTATAAGGCATCTAGAGCCCATGTGAATTTTGAAAATATCAGAGTCAGGAAGGATATTCATTCAAATTCCTATTTCATGTTTGGAGGGTCTATTCTACTACAGTTGAATAAAAACAGATTTTGAGTCCACTTCAGTAGGATTCATGAGAGGGTACTAACAGGGATTCATGTCTCCCTGTTGTTCTCTGTACAGCCTTTATCAAAAAGGGCAACCCCGGAGTACCAACACCTGTTGTACTCAAAACAGGGAGATAAACTGCATTGCTCTGACCTCATCATATCCTGCAGAGAACCACTAGGTTAATCCAGGGTAAGTGAGACTCTGATGTTTAGAGCAGGTCTGGTTTACAGCAGAATATTAATCTTTAAATGGGGATGGAAAGAAGTGCTCAGAAGCGTTATTTATAAATGAAGATAAGTGCTGGCTAACTTCCCTGCCTTATGCTTATATCATCTAATTATCTTGGCATGGGGTTTCGCTCTTTCATGTTCCAAGTCTGCTTTGTGCTCTAGCAAATTCACATCATTATCCTTCCTATCTCTTACATTTTTTCTCCTCTCTTTAGATACACCATTAACAATCCTAAGTAAACTGAGCTTCAGGGGTTTATATATGCTTGGTGTTACGCAATTTCTGCTTCCAGTTTCCAACCAACACTGCTTATTTTTATGGCTGCAAGACAATATGCTATAAAAAGGTATTTTTTCAAGAGGATCTTCCAAACCCTCATACCAATCTCAGAGCACCTCAAAAATAGTGACAGCCATGAATCCCAATGGCTAGATTCTATAATCTGGGGAGAGGGAAGTCTAGAACTATGGAATTTTTTAAACAACAGTGATAACTGAGTGAGGCAAAAAAGACATAAGACAAAACTTACCTGGCTGTATTAATCATTTTATGGAGCAGGGCTTTTCACCCAGTACTGCCTTGAGTTCAGCAACTTTTAGACTTCCCAGACTGCTCAGCATCCTAAGAGAAGTGGCTTTTATCCCTTCACCTCTGGCTGTGGGATCCCTCCATGCCCACCACTGCACCTTTCTTCAGCAGGGGCTTCTTTCTGCCTCTGTTTCACAAACTTCTCCCACCTCTGCATGCTCCCCTACTCGCAAGGAAGGATCTACCTTCCCATCCTCCCTCTGTCCTGAGGGTTTTGTTGCACAATGGGCTGCAGATGAGACAAGGCAAAGAGAACACAACAGATGGTAAACCACAGGCAGAAAAATAAAACAGGTATCATCCTGAACAAACTGGAATAGTATTTCCAAAATGGTATCCTTTGGCATTCCCTAATATGTGAATTTTTCTTACCAGCTATGAAACAGAAAAAGACAGAGAAAATACCAGTCCAGTTTGAGTCATTACAGGCTTTGTGGTAGGAGAAGATGAATAGCTGGAGAGATATAGAGATATAAGAAAAGGTAGATCATCATCTTTGGCCTCCTATCCAAACAGGGCAAATTTTACCCTGTTTGATTCAAGAGCAAGATGCCGATCCTCTACAGCAAGGTCCTAAGCACTACCCCCCATCTGGCTTTTGCTGCTGGAGTAGGTGGCCTGGTATGGTGTAACAGGGAAATGCAGCTTAGCCCACACCTGGGAGGGCAAGGAGGAGGCATGGCCTCATCCAAACACATTGTCCACAGTCTTCCCTGGATACAGAGATGCTTTCAGCCTGTGAACAGTAGAAGTGATGCCTTTGCAGAGGAAGCTGATGCGTCCAAGTGTGAATATGATATGGGAATATCATATATAATAGACATACGTGAATATGTCTGTTACCTGCTACAGCACGTTAATTTAAATGCTCAAACTGCAACATTGTTTATGGCTTGTATGTGCTATTAAAAAGATTTGCACGTGACATAACCCTTTCAGTCTCAACATCACCAAATCCCTGAAGCCTAACTAGATTGCAAAATGTTTATTTCTTTGATCTTCCTAACAGTAACAAACAATCCTTTCAACCTCACTACCTGTATCTCCTTCTTTTGAGTTAGCTGAGGTTTAATACTCTAGTAAAGTTTCACAAAGGTATCTTATGTAAAAAAAATTTCCTAATCACAAATTGAGGTAAGGAGATATAATTCCTCACCCAAATTGTCTAATCACAGTGCATTTGAAAATGATAAATCTCTCCAAGAATAAAAAAAAATCAGCAGGCAGATGGCAGAATAGATTATATTTAATTATAAAAAATTTAACTATATTGTTAATAACATGATCTAGGAAAAATATTAAAAATGTAATGTAAATTCCTTTTTTTTTAATCTATTTTTTCCATACTTTTTTTTTGCATCTATTTTTAAACAAGTCTTTATTTCTTCTATACACAAATGAATATCTGGCTATAGCGTTAGTTGTTAAAACTAGATCAGTACCAGGGGAATCTTTGATCTTCACAATTATCAATTAAATATTTAAAATCAGAAGAATGAAGATGCTTTGAAGACTTATTAGTAGATTAATTTATTCTCAGTTATTAATTTTCATTGCATAAAATTGAAAAACATGAAGCAACAAAGCATGCATGCTCACTCTGTTGTGGTGTTTGAACTAACAAGTCTCCTATGAGGTTTGGGATATATATTCTGGGCTTTTTAATTATATACTACACATATTCCTAAGAAAATATAAGCAGAGTCTGTAAGGGATAGATTTGTGATTAGTACTGTAGCAAATAATATATCCATATTTATGGTTCTGTGAAAATACAGGTAAGTTTTGAAGTGTTTATTTCCCCTTCAAATTTACTGTAAAAATGCCTTTGCCCAGGAGTAAAAAAAGGGTTCCTTTACACCAGCATGCTCTGAAGCAAGGCAGTACTTGTGATCCATCTCAGAAAAAAAGAAGGAAAATTCTCAGAGCATTTCAGCAGCAAGCCACCAGCCTGGTAACACACAGCCTGAGTTTCATCATTTATATATCTCAGTAAATTATCAGAAATGAAGCTATGCATCATAACAGCCATATAAGTCTAGCTCATTGAGGAAGGATTTAAAGAGCTCTACCATTCATGATTTTGAAGGCTCATGTCAAGTATTCACCTTGTACTCAACAAGGAGATGGCATTTGTTACTATCATGTAAAAAGAAAACAAGAAAAAAGTACAGTATCCCCTGTCAGTAACAGAATTTCAGAGATGAGTATTCTGCCTGCCAGCCCACAGTCTTTATGTAGTTTTTCTATAAGTATAAACGGTGAATAACTGAAGATTCAAATTGCATAGCAGATGAAATCCCCAATGTTACTCTGTTTGGTCACATACACCTACAGTGATTTGTTCTAGGAATCAGTCTTTTCACCACCACCTTATACCCATGATGTTTTTAGTATTTCCTGGTCCCAGTTAGGGGAGAAATCACAAAAAAAAAAAAAAGCTTTTCTTATATCTTTTTTCCTATGGATTTCTTTTGCCATTGTACCTCAGAAGAAACCATAGTAGAGAAACAAAGTGCAGCAGAATAATAAGCATCTGGACCATAAACACTGGTAAGTCACCTCTTCCATTCAGATAAATATTTAGGTAAATGCTACTTTAATGGGAAATTATCAACACACCTTTGAGCTAAACACAAAAACCTAGCCCAGTGAACTGTTACTTCAAACATGGAATAGAAAGCATCAGTTGTCAGATAAAAACAATCTCTTTCTAATCTCATGGAGCTGAGTAAAGACAGAGTTACAACTTCTGCTTAAAGCCCTCTGATACAAATAAGTAGAATGGCATAACAACCCACATTTTGCTAAATTAATTAAATGTCTTTACCACGCTATGGATCATTTATTGTTCAGAGTGCTCAGACACTATGCCTAGCAAGCATCATCATAAGCTATCCTTTTCCTGCCTAATGTGTTTCAAAGCCTACAGTATCCTCCTTTTCATTTTTTAATTAGCATTCTAAAAGCACGTGCACGCTGCTGTGTCCTTCCTCGGGAGGAAGACCCTGGCAGCAGCAGCAACCTGTGCTGCCTCTGCCCTTATTCCAGAGCTAGCAACTGGCTTGGAGACCACTGGTGACCCTGCAAAAATTCATGTACTACACAGTGTATTTCCCACAGTAAATATACTGGGCAGTAACAGAGCCATCAATTTCTCAGCAAACAAATTTTATGATAAAGGAAATGTCACTGCTTTAAACCCAAATAAAATCATTTCAATTTGATAGAGTGTTTGCTTGAGAACTCACAAAATTTTCACTCTAACTTATTTTATCCCTTCAGAATGTAGTCTGATCATGTAAAAAAACCCACTGGAAACGTACCTCAAATTTGAACATAGTTACTCTGAATTACTTCCTAGTCATCCATAATGTAAAGCAGCATTTCTTCAGTGATTTGTGCCATTTTTGATAACTCTGAATAGTCAGGAACTGAGTTCATGGCTGCTTTGCATTCCCAAAGTGACACAAAACAAATGGATTGTACTAGGGAACTCATCCTCTTTTAAATTCTCTTCTCCCTCCCTTCACCAACATTGTATCAAGTAACTAATGCAGCAAAAATCCCCAAAAACTTTTATTGAACAAATACAAAAGTCATATATAAAAGCTGCAATATCACTTAATTGGAAAATTTCATACTCAGCTTTTCTTTCTTCAGAAACCCTGTCTGATAATCCATAACAAATTGATTCAGCCATGAAAACATTCACAGTGCATGAAAACTGTGGTGCAACTTTCCAGGATCACACACTGCACACACACAGTTTTAGCAGTCAGGTAGGTAGGTATGTAACACACTGAGGGGCTCGCAGGACACTCTAGTTGGCGCAAAAATGCAATTGAGCAAGGAAAGAGGAGGTTGTAGTTTGCTTCACAGACTGCCCACAACAGACAGAGGAAAACATGCTTTAGCCAAAACCATGGAACATGCTGCTCCTCTCCTCTGCTTCCCGAGTCCTCTAGGGTAGAGTAGTTCACCTAGAGCATGTTGTAAGTCAGAGCTGTCTAAACTGCCAATGAAAAGGCACACAATTCCTACCCTTGCCATAAGCACATGTTACAGATCAGACCGGTGCATACAGGTTTCTTGTAGGACCAGGGAGAAAACTGTACTATCTGATCTCTATATCCACTTACACAGAAGCTCAGCAAGAGGGTAGGGCTCAAAGTCCTAGGAGAGAAAATGGGAGTAAGAGTTTCCTGAGGACTACTAAGCCAACACACTATTAAGTGTACCGTCTAACACTGTTCTGTTCTTCCACTCTTGCAGCTACCACATGTGATGGACCATATCCAAGTTAAACACTCTCACCAGAGCATGCTCCAAGACAGACGACTGGGCCTCAGGCTTTGCCAATACAATGCAGTTCTATTCTCTATTTATTTTTGTAGTTCAAAGACCTGGCAGTAGCCCATTTGATGCCTGCCATAAAGACCAGTGCACTCCTGATTACTGCCATGAGATTTCCAAGCCCACAGACGGCGTATATTCCAATGTATGCCAGTCACCAAGATAGACCATGCACAAATAGCAGCAGGATTCTCTGAGAGAAAGAAAAAAGCCAGCTCCTATTTCCACTTTGAAGCCCCCCATAACAGGCTGCCAACTTGAGGACCTTGCTTTAATCACAGCAGCCACATGAAAGAGTTCATTCTGTTTATCTTGGTTCATTTAGGAAACCAGTGATAAGTCTGCCATGAAAAAAAAACATCTTCTCCTGGAAGCTGGCATACTTGTCCCAAGATATGGGCTTTGATTTCATTTTAAGTGCAGTTATTTACAGTCATACCACAGAGTGCATGAGTTTTCTCATTCTACCAGATGACTCCTTTTCCCTGATAAGCAAGCTGTGAATACTTAAAATTTCCTCTCAAGTACAATGGCATCTCTGAGTGGAAGTGGTAGGAAGAGGGCAGCAGATGCTCCTACAGCTTCAGGTTAAGCGTGCAAGCTGCATCCTGATGTTCGCACCCAGCCAGGCAATAAAAGGAACTGGAGGAAGAACTGTGGCCCACACATAGGAGGGAACAAGGTGCGTGATGTGACTCAACTTTCTCCCACTAGGCTTTCTGAAGCAAATAAGACAAGCGTAATTGTAAATAAAGATAGGAGGCTGGTGTTCAACTACTGAATATGGAGTATTACTTTGCCATGAAACAGCAATATCAGAAAAAAAACAAAGTTGCAGACTAATTGTGGATAAAAACATATAATCCTCTTCTGCATGAGTGGACTGCATTTTCAGCTGTATTGTGGATAACCAAACAGATAATCTTGTCCCTGTAAATCAGAGCAATATATGTACTTTTTAACTTTGCTACCATCTACAGACCACTGGCATCCCCCAGTGCTCTTTGTGGTATAGCCAGATTCTGTAGTGTTGTTGCTTTAGTTTTCTGGGCTCACTATGTACCTCGTAGGGTTTCAGTGTCAGTGAATGCAATTCTCTCTCTGCTAATAAGAAGTTTTAGAAGGTGTGAAGTGGTTGACGGGTTCTTTTGAACCCAGTGGATGCAAGGTAGTGGCTGTTGATGATGGAAGTACGCACTGGAGACTATTTAGCCTCAGATTGCTAAAGGATTCGGAAGCTGCGACTGAGTGGAAGACATTTATGAACATATTTGATTTCTGGACCCTACATGAACCCTTAACTTCTGGCAAAGACAGAAATGAGAATGAAGAGAAAAACTCTTGTATTTGGAGAAAGATGTATTATTTTCAAGTTCTGAAGGATCATTATCTTCAGCACAACCATTTTTCCTCTTGAAATGTAGGTTATATTACTACATTTACTTCTGACTTCTCAGCCCTTGGCACCCATAATTCTATTTTTCCATTTAAAAAATTGCTGAGGTCTCTGTTCTGATATCTCAGCAAACACAATATTTCATCTCTGACTGTATCCTGTTTAGTCTGGATTTGTTCATATTTGCAAGCAATAGATTTGAAATACAGCCTTGCAGAATAATCAGTAATAAACACACAAAAGTGACAGGCAATAATTTCATAGTTTTCATAAGAGATAAAGTAAGATATTTTACAAAACTTTGCCATATCATGTGAATGTGCCAATTTACCCCTCACAGTACGTTAGGTATTGTGACATATTAGGAGATGCTACTATAAATCTTGCAGTATCTTGCAAATGTGCAATTACTCTTCACAAGTGCCCAGATGGGGATTATATCTCATTATGTCAAGTGCCATGCAAAAAAAAAAAAGTCAGCTGTAATTAATGGGGTTGGAAACTTCAAGAACAGATCTGCTGATGAAAAAAACAAAAACGGTCAGAGTATCTGCTTGAATCACAACTCAAATGACTGGCTGTTTACGCTAACCTTGTCCAAAGCATGTAATCATCCTGAGAATGCAAAACTGGACTGAATCACAAGAGTGACGTTCCTTGCAAGCTTTCCACTAGGTGCTTTGTCTGCATGTCTATGCATTAGAATAATGTCCAAAATTTTTCTTTTCTAATGCTACAGTAGCTTTCAGATTTCTGACCTTTTTAGAAACAGAAATAACAGATCCTTAAAAAAAAAAAACAAAACCAAACCCCCCCCCAAAAAAAAAACCAAACCCAAAAACAAAACAACCACCACAAACACAAACAAAAAATACATTAAGGTTAGAAAAAGGTCCAGTTTGGTGTAAACTTAAATTTTACATGTCAATTGATTCACTCAAACACCTAGACCTGTTGTTTTTCACCTAAGTGTAACATGGCATTCCCAAATTCCAAATTATGAGCCCTAACCAAATTTTCCTCACAAAACATTCCCATTCCCCCTGCCTGGAACCTCAGAGCATGTCACTGAATAATCAGTTCCCTTCACGGACCACTGTAGTGCTTTGCAAATAGACATCATCCCTGGATTATCCTGCTTAAGACCTGCATGCAGCACATCCATACACTTTGCAATATTTCGATTTCACTTGCCCCAGTAGCTGATTTCCCCAAAGAAACATCCTTGGATGATCTCAGGTACATGCCAGAGACAGATAGTCAGCTATACAAGCTTGGGTTTTTCCCTGAAGTTTAACATTATTAGCTGAACAGGCTCAGTTGAGCATGTATTCAGATGTCTTTTCTTAAAATTGACTTTTAATGTTAGTCATGAACAGATATTCACACTTCTAAACATTTTTTCCCCTTAAATTTTCCTTAGTGGCATACCTGTTAAAGAAAATTGCATCTGAAAGAAGTTGTTCTCATTGCCTAATAAACTTTTTGATTAAACACACCAAGTATTCATCAACCTCTACAATATTTTTAAATATTTTGAGATACGAGTTTTCAGTTTTCTACTTCCAAAGGAAGCATGGAACAAGTCAGGTCAGATTTTTTAAGGTGTCAATTGAATACAGCTGAACTTCTTCAAGAAAAATGAGCTTTTATGAAAAGAAAGCTTCAAATTTATGATTCTACCAATTTTTTTCTCATTCTCAGAACTGTTGAGAAGCAAGGCCAAAAGCAGTTCCTTTTCCTTTCTAATGGAAAAGGAGCCAAAATTCAGAGTCAGGTAAATTCCACTTACCTACCTTTAATTTTGGCCTCAACAGTGCCATTTGCCAGCCAAGAACCAATGTCAGGATTGCACACTATTAAGTGAGTTCCTTTTACTGAATCCCTGCAACCTTGCTAATGTGTAAGCCATAAAACATGAAAGTATGCATTCATTCTGAGTTCAGTTTGCAGAATGAGTAACCAGGAGAACCATTGCTCTGCCTCCCTTTCCTTACAGGTCCCAAACCTGTCTCGAAAATGCTTAATGACAGCAAAACTGCTGTGCAAATGGATGCTGCTTCTTAAAAAGACTGTCATAAATGCATGATGAACAAGGGGAGCTGTAATGACTATTTTTAGATGGATGGCATCAATTTCAGAGAAAACTCATTTTTCGACAAAAAGGGTTTGGATTACCTCTCCTTATATGCAGCTACATCAATCCACCTCAGCTTCCTCTACAACACAAAATGACCAAGTGGTGGCCAGCATCATGCATGGGCTTTCTTCTAGATGGAGAGGAAATGTTCTGTAGGCTCCACGGACCAGCAGCTGCCACTTAGCAATGCCTTGCATGACTGGGAAACTGCAATATTCCCATTTATTCTCCTGACTTACTAGTTTGTTTTTCTGACTGAAACCTCAGATTTTCTTCTTGCTAGAATTCTTGCATACATAGTTCTGCTCGCTGTGATTTTGTACTCGTTATTTCTGTCTAACAGTATGCTCTTCCTAGAGAACTGACATGCTTGCAGTAACTGGCCATAATAGCATTCCTTGAAAGGCTAGTGCTGGTTTATGTTTGGGAATACCAACTCTGACAAGATAATGCCAACATGTAATTTGTAATTGAACCATTTAGTAGAATCATGGAATCATAGAACAGTTAGGGTTGGAAAGGACCTTAAGATCATCAAGTTCCAGCACCCCTGCCAAGGGCAGGGACACCTCACACTAAACCATCTCAGCCAAGGCTTCGTCCAACCTGGCCTTGAACACTGCCAGGGATGGAGCATTCACAACTTCCTTCGGCAACCCATTCCAGTGCCTCACAACCCTAACAGGAAAGAATTTCCTCCATATATCCAATCTAAACTTCCCCTGTTTAAGTTTTAGCCCGTTACCCCTTGTCCTATCACTACAGTCCCTAATGAGGAGTCCCTCCCTGGCATCCCTATAGGCCCCCTTCAGATAGTGGAAGGCTGCTATGAGGTCTCCATGCAGCCTTCTCTTCTCCAGGCTGAACAGCCCCAACTTTCTCACCTTATCTTTATACGGGAGGTGCTCCAGTACCCTGATCATCCTCGTGGCTCTCCTCTGGACTTGTTCCAACAGTTCCATGTCCTTTTTATGTTGAGGACACCAGAACTGCACACAATACTCCAGGTGAGGTCTCACGAGAGCAGAGTAGAGGAGCAGGATCACCTCCTTCAACCTGCTGGTCACACTCAGTTTGATGCAGCCCAGGACATGGTTGGCTTTCTGGGCTGTGAGTGCACACTGAAGCCGCCTCATGTTCATTTTCTCACTGACCAACACCTCCAAGTCCTTCTCCGCAGGGCTGCTCTGAATCTCTTCTCTGCCCAACCTGTAGCTGCGCCTGGTACTGCTCCGACCCAGGTGTAGGACCTTGCACTTGGCATGGTTAAACTTCATGAGGTTGGCATCAGCCCACCTCACAAGCATGTCAAGGTCCCTCTGGATGGCATTCCTTCCTTCCAGGGTATCAACCGAACCACACAGCTTGGTGTCATCGGCAAACTTGCTGAGGGCGCACTCAATCCCACTGTCCATGTCACCAACAAAGATGCTGAACAAGACCGGTCCCAACACCGATCCCTGAGGGACACCAGTCGTTACTGGTCTCCAGCCGGACACTGAGCCATTGACCACAACTCTTTGTGTGCAGCCATTCAGCCAGTTCTTTATCCACCGAGTGGTCCATCCATCAAATTGATGTCTCTCCAATTTAGAGACAAGGATGTCGTGTGGGACAGTGACGAACGCTTTGCACAAGTCCAATTAGATGCTGCCCACCCGAACACTTAAAAAAAAACCAACCCCAACGCCCTCAAATCATAGACTGAACAATGTGAATAAATGGGCTGAAATATCTCTGTATTCCTGAATTGTCTTAGTCTCCTTTTTGATGTGTGCAACTCTGAGTAGCAGAAGAGGCATTCTGTGCTATTTATATGCAGTTTGTCCTGGAGAATCTCCCTGCAGCTGGCAGAATATGGCAGTGTATACTTGCTAAGTAATACATGATACTGAAACGCTGCTCTGAATTTTTCATGGGTAGGGACTTAAGAAGACAGAGCTCTGCCTACAGATTAACTAAGAAAGTATTACCTGGATCTAATGACATGCTCTTGCTTTCACTAAAATAGTATAATTCAAACCAGAATAAAATTTTAGCTCTATAACCACAAAATGTATTTTTTTTTTTCACCAGAAACTTGACTAGTTTTAATGTGCTGATTTTTACATTCTTGTACACTCCTTTAATAAAATCAGCCTGGAGTTTGGAGGGTTCCACTATTGTATTTAAAAGGCATTAATGTCCATATTGTAAATTTGACCCTTTCTCCCTCCAGCCCTTAACAATATTACAGGAGAAAGAAAAGAACCAAACTGTGCTTGTTAACATACTTAAATAATTTTCAACCTAAAAACCCTGTAGGTTTATATAGTCTACTAATTTTTCTACTAAATCTAGCAGAACACAC